AGAGAGAGAAGAGATTTACCCCCGTGATAGTTCAATAAATTATCAACCACAATAATGTCATGCAGTGCCATATAAGACTTTATTATACAATTGTCATAGTAACGCTACAAGTTAGAGCGTGCCGTAATTTTGTGGTATTTTACAAGGTATTTTCATCCTACCATATTAGGAAATGCAAATTCCAAATATGGAATGATTATGCGCGTAAGCGTTCTCTAATAATAAAAACAAACATGGCTGCCGCCAGGGTTTGATCAGACACCACACAAAAAAAGTTTGCTGATTTTGTTCTAAACTTTTTGGATTTCGGCATTCCCATGATGTATACCTCAAAGTATGCACTCAGACAGTGCGCCGTCTGCGCGTCGGTCGATACTGTCTTCGTGCATACTTTGTGGTATCCTCACACAAAGCATGCAATGTAGTTATTGTTATTCTTAATATATGCATTAAATGCGCAAGTAGTGTGTATATCTCCCCGATACTCACAATTCACAAGTTTCTTGTCAAGAATCGAATTTTTGATATTGCTATTGGACTTATTCTCCCCGAAAACGCGTCTATTTAGATACATGTTATAATCTTATTATTTCTTTTGCCTCTATTTTTTTTATTGTGCCCACAGAACAGAATATATGTAATGAGCATACATACAAAATTCGCAGAATATAATTTAATAAATGAACTATGCTTAATCAAAGTTAATTGTCAGTTGACTGTAAAACAAGTCAATTCATAGACATTTGTTCAAAAATTGTTACAACTGATGATTTTGAGAGTAATATTACAGTACTGAAAAGTACATTATCTTGAATAGTGTACATTTCATATAAAGTACAATGTGTTGGTTTATGGCATTAGCGTGGAATGGCAGTATAACCTGCTTCTGGTAACGACCAAATCCCAGCTCACTTACCCTGTTCGCATATAATAAGCTCTAGAACACTTGGAACCGCTGTGGATTCATGTATTATATAAGGTTTTAAAACGCTGGTATTTTTAACATACTTATATTTTCATATTCTCTAATTGTCATACACCTCCTTATTGTGCTTGGGTGTAAATCAGAGTTTACCAAGTAAGAAAAAATAGATAGACTATTTGATGTGATGGCAGGCATTGAATCTCAGTTAGGACAAATATATGAAGCAACTGACAGACTTGCATGGAAGTAATATATACAACTGTTGGCATGGTCCACTGTTATGCAATCGTTGAATCTCAATTTACCATTTCAGGACAAATGTACGAGAGCAATAGATACACCTGTTGACGTATGACATGTTGAGGCATATGAACTGTATTACGTTCAACAGAGGATACTACCATGTCCCATACATCAAGAAAGATGACACCAATTCCAGCAAATACATATCGAATGACTCTGTTTTGATCATAGAACACCCAATTACTGCTATGGACGTTTTGTTCAGTGTACATATTATCACGTGGATGTGATAATTTAATCACAACATTGACATTCGGACATCGATTAAGCAATCTTTCCACGGCTAGCTTTGCATGGAATATCCGTTCAACATATGAACGCATAGACCACAAACCAAAGTGGAATGAGAAGTTCAGAATCACGATATGTTTTCTGGAGTGACACGTGTCAGTTTCGATGTGATCTAACAAGTCACTTTCCAGAACTGACGACCAGAAATGATCTACTACGTTGCCAGTCCGCGGTGACACAAAATAGTGTTGAAACTTAATATCATAAAATTTAGCAAAAAACCATTTAAACTGTCGTAAATTGGAATCACCACTCTCTAATACCACCGTGTTCGATAAGCACTTTCGCACATCATCATCTGACCACTGTGTACTGCTGCATACCAAGGGAACAAACACTTTGTGGTTTTCCCAGTATCCATCTGATAATGGCACTGGTAGATCGGGACCACACGGCACCATTGGTTCAAGTGTTGATGAATTTTCTGAGATAGGAACGAAAGTATGTGTGAATAGAAAATACATTATTAGTTAGTACAACTCACTTATTATAGAAATAAAACTATGCAAATAATATTAAAATGTGTTATTGTATCACAAAAATGGCATTTTAGGAACATGTTGGATATGTATTAGTGGTAGTTTTGAAACACCTGTAATGATTCATGTACAAATTCTTTTACTAATTTCACAATGCTTTGAAATATA